TAATTTGGCCTTTTTCCTTTGCAGCTCTTAATATTCTTTCCTTATTCTGTATGCTTTGTGTTTTGATAATTATATGGCGAGGGGATGGTTTTTTTTGATCCAGCCTATTCGGTGTTCTGTATGCTTCTTGAACCTTCATAGGTATATCTTTCTTTAGGTTGGGAAAGTTTTCTTCTATAATTTTATTAAATATATTTTCTGGACCATTGAGCTGCCCTTCTTCTCCTTCTTCTACTCCTATTATTCTTAGGTTTGGGCTTTTTATTGTGTCCCATATTTCCTGAATGTTTTGTGATGAGCGTTTGTTGGACTTGCTGTTTTCTTTGATCACTGTGTTTATTTTCTCTATGGTATCTTCAGAATCCGAGAGTCTTTCTTCTATCTCTTGTATTCTGCTGGTTATGCTTGTTTCTGTAGTCTCTATTCGTTTACCTAGATTTTCCATGTCCAGCCGGCCCTCTGTTTGTGTTTTCTTCTTTGCCTCCATTTCAGTTTTCAGGTCTTGCACTGTTTCCATTATCTGTTTGATTGTTTTTCCTTGGTTTTCTAGGGTATCATTCACTGATTTATTCAATTCTTCAAACTTTCTGTTATATTTCTCATCCATTTCTATAAGGGCGTTTTTTACATGCTGTTTAAGGGTGTCAATCACTTGCATGAAGTCAATCTTTTCTCCTTCTTGATTAAGGGGTTCTTGTCCTCCCATTGTGAGGTCGCTTGTTTCTGGTGGCTTCATGTTGCTTTTCAGCTTGTTGGGCGAATTCTTGCCTTGACGTCGGCCCATCTCTTCTTCCAAATGCTCCCTATGGATCTTCTTTTACCGGATCAGGTCTCCTTGCCTACCAAACGCTGGCTCTCCCCAATGTTGGCTTTCCTGGCGCAGAGAGATCAGGCCTCTGTGCTGGTTGGGCAGCTCGCAAACAAAGCACCTACCCAGCTTGGTGCAGGCAGGCCACAGAAACAAAGGAACTGCTGCCCGCCCGGGAGCCCCGAGAACTCGGACCCAGCGCCCAGATAGGCTGGGCTGGGCGATGCCACACGCCAAAAGAGGGCGGTGGGGCCGAAGTGGGGAGGGCTCTGGACGGAAGCTGGGTGGGCCAGGAAGAAAGAGGCAGCACCCAGGGAGTAGAGGCCCTGCAGAGAGCCCAAGAAGGACAGGGGGCCAAGGAACCCCCGAGCTCCCCGTCCCAGGCTGGCGACGTGGGCCAGAAACTCACCCCAATGCTGGGTCTCCTGGCGCCGAAAGATCAGGCCTCCCTGCTGGTTGGGCAGCTTGCAAACAAAGCGCCTACCCCGCTTGGTGCAGGCAGGCCACAGAAACAAAGGAACTGCTGCCCGCCCGGGAGCCCCGAGTACTCGGACACAGCGCCCAGATCGAGTATTTCTTAATCTAACGATTTGATTATGTGTTTTTTTCTTTCAGTTAATTTTCATTTTATTTATTTTTGATTTTTTGAGACAGTTTTTTGAAATAGTTTTCAAGACAGTGTGGCTTTGGAGCCTGTCTTGGACTTTCTCTGTAGATAATACTGGCTCTGAACTGATGGGGTGTAAACGACCGGCAAATAGGATTAATCAGGCTAGCTTTAATATCAGCTTTATTAAGGGGAAGAAGAGGATAGCTAACAAAACCAAGGTTCCAACAAAGAGCAGGAAACAGAAGGGAAGACTGGGGAGTACACCCGCAAGATTTATAAGTAAATATTAGCCTAAGGGGATCCTGCCCTTCAAACAAGGTGATTGGCTTGCCTTCCCCCACATCTCCCCCTTTTGTCTAAATAAGACAGAACCAAACCAAATACAACTATATACAATAAGAACAAATAATAAATATAAAATTACAAATAACAAACAATATTGAGCAAGAAACCTGTAACAAAAGTTTTACTAAACATTCTATTTCAAGGAATCTAAATAATGTAGAGAGTAATTGCAATTATCTAATCTTCAACTCCGTCAAAGATCTGAGAGGGGAAGTAATATTACTTAAGCAAACAGGAAGAACAAACGAGAAATTTCCAAAATGTGGAACAAATGACAGAGACAGCTGACTGCCTGTGCAATCACCCAACCTCTCATTAGCAATGTTGAGTCAACCAACTTTGGCTAAGGCCTAACATAACTGGCAGATCGTTATCAAAGGCAAGAAACTTTTTTTAGAACTATCCTACCCTGTCTTGGCAAGATAGGACAATCCTGTTTTATCCACTTACGGATATTTTGTATCTTTGTCAGTAGTTGAGGTGTGGGCTTTTCTTTTGCCTGAAGGCCAGTTGTGCGAAGAAGAAGACAAGCTCCCAGTGGAGTGTCTTTGGTGCTCAACGTTCTCTCAGGAGTAGAGCGGTGTTGCCAGGAGTGACTGTGTCTCATTGGCACGGAATTCCTAGGTTAGATTAAAGGCCATTTTCTACAGCTCTTCGAAGAAGTTGAAGATTATACTATCTATACTAAATATCTCTATGTATCTAAAGAACCTGATTATCCTAATATAAATATGACAAAGATATAATTTTCAATACCTATCTAGCTTGAAGACTAAGAGAATAAACAACTGTGCAATATATGAGGACAATGATCTCCAACTGTAAACAGTGTCATTACATAAATAATATCAGAGGTAGAAATGTATATTGCGATATGGTAAATATATTAATACAATATAAACAGGTATAAGCATACTCTTATACAAGAAATAGAGGTAGAAGCATACTCACATTTAATATTCAGTATATCAATATACAAGAATCCCCTCAACCCGTATCAACCACTAAATGATGTCCCTAAACCTGAGGGTAAACTCCGCTGGGAGAGGGGATGTCGTCCTGTAATAGGGCTTTAAGCTGACATGGGGGCGACGTTCTTCTTAGGGGGTCCTGTGAAAGCAAATGATGGTAAAATTCCCATAATAACATTTGGCCTAAGAAAATTGTAACTAGCCTCTGAGTGTTTCTAGGAGATCTGGCTCAAAACTGGAAGTTAAACCACAGACAATGTGCTATGTGAATTAGAGTATGGCTGTAAACAGCAGTGGGAGCGTGGATGGCGCTGCCTGAGAGGTTAGAGTGATTGGGGGGAGCTCGCTTGGATGGAGTCACGTGCCCTGTGGTGCGCCTACCTTACTGCAGCGCTGGCGGTAACAGCTGGCTAGAACTGCAGCAGGGTTGTGCTCATTCAGCCGGGGCTGTACTGCTGCCAACCAAGCTCGAATGCTGGGAAACTCAGCCGAGACAGGCGGGAGGGGTTAGCGCGCTGGGCTTCCCCTACACTGAGCTCAGAGATCTGCCTGCCTCTGCCTCCCCAGTGCTGGGATTAACGGTGTACACCACTATTTCTGTGCCTTTATGTTTATTTATGTATTTTGAATTATCCCTGCATCTTTAGGATGGAGCCTGTTTGAGCATTGTGGTTGATTTTTTTTTTGAATACTTGGGTTTCTTTTTTATTTTCTTTGACAGGTGTAGTTAACTTTATTGATGGTATTCAAGAGAGTAGGGCTTCCTAAGCTCCTCCTGCTATTCTGGGGGTCTGGGATGGAAACTGACGAAGATGCTCAGTGTCAAGGGTTGAGTTAGGATAGAGACTGCTCAGCAACCGAGGGCGCCTCTCTTTTGCTGTGTCCTTGCTGGGATGGGGTTCCTGGGCAGGCTTCTTATTCCTTGGAGGCCATGTAGGCCATGAGGTCCACCACCCTGTTGCTGTAGCCAAATTCATTGTGGTACCAGGAAATGAGCTTTACAGAGTTGTCATTGAGAGCAATGCCAGCCCCAGCATCGAAGGTGAAAGAGTGGGAGTCACTGTTAAAGTCACAGGAGACAACTTGGTTTTCAGCCTAGCCCAGGATGCCCTTTAGTGTACCCCCAGATGCCTGCTTCACCACCTTCTTGATGTCGTCATACTTGGCAGCTTTCTCCAGGTGGCATGTCAGATCCACAACGGACACATTGGGGGTAGGAACATGGAAGGCCATGCCTGTGAGCTTCCAGTTCAGCTCTGGGATGACTTTGCCCACAGCCTTGGCAGCTCCAGTGGATGCAGGGATGATGCTCTGGGCAGCACCACGGCCATCTCACCACATCTTGCTAGAGGGGCCATTCACAGTCTTCTGCATGGCTGTGATGGCATGGACTGTGATCATGAGTCCCTCCACGATGCCAAAGTTGTCATGGATGACCTTGGCCATGGCAGCTAAGGAGTTGGTGGTGCAGGAAGCATTGCTGACAATCTTGAGGGAATTGTCATACATGTCATAGTTCACACCCATCACAAACATGGGGGCATTCGCGGAAGGTGGAGATGATAACCTGTTTGGCCCCACCCATCATGTGGGCCCCAGCTTTCTCCATGGTGGTGAAGACACCAGTTGACTCCACAACATACTCGGCACCGGCCTCGCCCCATTTGATGTTGGCAGGATCTCCCTCCTGGAAGACGGTGCTGGCCTTCCTGTTGATGATAAGCTTCCCATTCTCAGCCTTAACTGTGCCTTTGAACTTGCCATGGGTGTAGTCATACTGGAACATGTAGACCATGTAGTTGAGATTGATGGCAACAACGTCCACTGTGCCAGAAGTGAAGGCAACCCTGGTAACCAGGCATCCAATATGGCCAAATTCGTTCCCTCTGACCTTTACCATTGTGTCTCTGGAACGAGGCTGGTACTGCATGAAAAGAAGCTCCCTAGAACAGGGAGGAGCAGAGAGCCTACTTGGGTTTCTAATTTTGAAAAAGTTTACTATATTTTATAGACTAAGTTTTTTTTCCTGAATATTATTGGTGTTTTAATCTTTAATTCTTTAATTAATTTAATAAGTTAAATTAATAATTTCTTTTTTATTAAGTACTTTAAGTGGAAAAACTAAGTTGCTTTAGTTTCAGTGGAAATTGTTTTATGTTAAGGGTTATTCTTACACTTTCAGGTGAGAAGGTAACTAAGGGTTATCCAAGTCATAATACAGTGGTTTATATTTACTTTTACCTTTTTTTGTTTTCTTTCTTTGAAGGCAGGAAAGCATGAAGCCATTGTGAAGAATGTACATGACCTACTAGCAAAATTAGCTTGGGATTTTTCTCCTGAACAACTTGATCATCTTTTTGATTGTTTTAAGGTAAAAGTACAAATAATAAAATATTGCTATTATTTAATTTGGTCTTCTTTGCTTTTATGTGCCTTTGGAAAAAAACATTGATCATTGGATAGTTCCTTTTTCTTCTAATTAGAACTTATAAGTGGTTTATATAATAATTTCTGTCATGCGTATGCACTTGTAACCATTTTAATTCTGCTTAGTTCTTTGACTTTAGTCTTTTCTGGAAATTTTAATGTTTATGGTAAAATATCTTACATAAATATAATGAAGGGTGGGATGATGAGGAGAAAATACCTAACTGCTCAACCATGATAAAATAATAAGAAATATTATTTTGTACATACTCTGTAATGTGTATTTGCATTTGTATTGATGGAATTGTTTAACTATTAAGTATTCTTTTTCTGTGTATTTGGTTAGAAAGTTGACTAATCAAAAGTTAGAACCCTGTTACAGTATTAGTGTACAAATATTCTAGTTACCATTGACTTTATTTTTTTTTAAATATTTATTTATTTATTATGTATACAATATTCTGTCTGTGTGTATGTCTGCAGGCCAGAAGAGGGCACCAGACCTCATTACAGATGATTGTGAGCCACCATGTGGTTGCTGGGAATTGAACTCAGGACCTTTGGAAGAGCAGGCAATGCTCTTAACCACTGAGCCATCTCTCCAGCCCCCTTACCATTGACTTTAGCTATACAAGATTTCTTGTTTAAAATCATTATTACATTTTTGGCAATAACTTTTACTAGGCCCTGAAGATAAAGTATTTGTTTGATAATTTTCATTAAAATGTGAAGAATTATATTCTATATCCCAATTGCTGTTAATGCCAGCTATACCTTGAAGAAATTCATAGTATATACTGTAGGATGCCTGTTCAGCATTTTAACAGTTGTAGTTTTGTAGGCCCCAAACTGAAATTAAATGTGTATAAATTATAGAAGGATACAGTAGAAGATACTCTCATTAAAATGACAAAAACCAATATATTAGAACCATTTTATATATAGGTGGAGCTATCTGAGGGAAAGAAATGAAGTGATATTCTAAAAAGTAAAGTTGTTTGATATTGTGAATACTACTGGCATGTTTATGTATATTTTTTACTAATTTTTATTGAGCTCTACATTTTTCTCTCCTCCCCTCCTTGCCTCTCCATTCCCTATCAACCCTCTCTTAAGGTACCCATGTTCCTAATTAACTCAGCAGACCCTCTCTTTTTCTGCAATCTATGTATGTCTCTCTTAGGGTCCTCGTTGTTGTCTGGGTTCACTGGATTTATGATTTGTAGGCTGGTTTTCTTCACTTTATATTTTAAAACCACATATGAGTGAGTCCATGTGATAATTGTCTTTCTGCATCTGGATTGCCTCACTTAAAATGATGTTTTCTAGCTCCATCAATTTGCCTGCAAATTTCAAGATGTCATAATTTTTTTTTCTGCTGTGTAGTGCTCCATTGTGTAAATGTACCACATATCCATTCGTCAGTCGAGGTGCATTTAGGTTGTTTCCAGATTCTGTTTATGACAAATAATGCTGCTATGAACATAGTTGAGTACATGTCTTTGTGGAATGATTGAGCATCCCTTGTGATATATACCCAAAAGTGGTACTACTGGGTCTTGAGGGAGGCTGTTTCTTAATTTTCTGAGAAATTGCCACACTAATATTGAAAGGGGCGGTACCAGCTTGCATTCATACTAGCAATGTAGAAGTGTTCCCTTTACCGCACAGCCTCTCCAGTATAAGTTGTCATCAGTGCTTTTGTTCTTGGCCATTCTTACAGGTATAAGATTGAATCCCAGAGTTGTTTTGATTTGCATTTCTCTGATGACTAAGAATGTTGAACATTTCCTTAAGTGTCTTTCAGCCATTTTAGATTCCTCTGTTGAGAGTTCCCTGTTTAGGTCTCTACTCCATTTTTTTTTATTGGATGATTTGTTCTTTTGATGACGAATTTCTTGAGTTCTAGTATATTTTGGAGATCAGACCCCTGTCTGATTTAGGGATAGTGAAGATCTTTTCCTGTCTGTAGGCTGTCATTTTATCTTGTTAACTGTGTCCTTTGCTTTACAGAAGCTTTTCAGTTTCAGGAGGTCCCATTTATTAATTGTTTCTCTCAGTGTCTGTACTGCTGGGGTTGTATTTAGGAAGTGGTTCCCTGTGCCAATGCGTTCAAGTGTACTTGCCACTTTCTCTTCTATAAAGTTCAGTGTGGCTGGCTTTATGCTGAGGTCTTTGATCCATTTGGACTTGAGTTTTGTGCATGATGATAGATATAGATCTATTTTCATTCTTCTACATGTAAATATTCAGTCATGCCAGTCCATTTGTTAAATATGTTTTCTATTTTCCATTTGATATTTTTTGCTTCTTTGTCTAAATTGGGTGTTATATTTCAAAGGATTAATATCCGGGTCTTCAGTTTGGTTCCATTGGTCCTCCTGTCTGTTTTTATGCCAAAACCAGGCTGTTTTCAGGGTTGTAACTCTGTAGTAGAGCTTGAAGTCAGGGATTGTGATGCCTTTGGAAGTTCTTATATTGTACAGGATTGTTTTGGCTATCCTAGGTTTTTTGCTTTTTCATTTTAAGTTGAGTACATTGCTTTCAGGGTCTGTGAAGAATTTTGCTGAGATTTTGATGGACATTGCATTGGATCTGTATATTGCTTTTGGTAAAATCGCAATTTTTACTATGTTAATTCTGCCTACCCAAGAGGGTGGGATACCTTCCACTTTCTGGTGTATTCTTCAATTTCTTTCTTCAAAGCTTTAAAGTTCTTCTTCTTCTGTTTTTTTTTTTTTTTTTTTTTTTGGTTTTTCGAGACAGGGTTTCTCTGTGGCTTTGAAGCCTGTCCCGGAACTAGCTCTGTAGACCAGGTTGGTCTCGAACTCACAGAGATCCGCCTGCCTCTGCCTCCCGAGTGCTGGGATTAAAGGCATGTGCCGCCACCGCCCGGCCTTAAAGTTCTTGTCATACAAGACTTTCACTTGTTTGGTTAGCGTTATTTCAAGGTATTTTAATGCTGTTTGTGACTATTTGTGAAGAGTATTGATTCTTTTATTTCTTCCCCAGCCTTTTTATCATCTGTGTACAGGAGGGCTACTGATTGTTTTTGAGTTAGTCTTGTATCCTGCTACATTGCTGTAAGTTTTTATGTGTTGTAGAAGATCGTTGGTAGAATTTTTGGGGTCACTTATGTAAACTATTATATCATCAGCAAACAGTGAGAGTTTGACTTCTTCTTTTGCAATTTGTATCCTTTGATCTCCTTTGGTTGTCTTTGTCTTATTGCTGTAGCTAAGACCTCTAGAACTATATTGAATTGATATGGAGAGAGTGTACAACCTTGTCTTGTTCCTGATTTCAGTAGGATCTCTGGGAGTTTATTTACAGTTAGTTTGATGTTGGCTGTTGGCATGCTGTATGTATTTAGGTTTGTTCCTTGTATCCCTGCTCTTTCCAAGACTTTTATCATGAAGGAATGTTGTTGAAAACTTTTTTCAACATCTAATGAGATGTGGTTTTATATTTTAGTTTGTTTATTTGGTGGATTACGTTGACAGACTTTCATACAGGGAACCATCCATCCCTGCATCCCTGGAATGAAGCCAACTTTATCATGGTGGATGATGGTTCTGTTTTGTTCTTGGATTTGATTTGCCAGTATTTTATTTAGTAGTTTTGCATCAGTGTTCATGAATGAGATTGGTTTGTAATTCTTTTTTTTTTAGTGTGGTTTTTCTTTATGTGGATTGGGTAATTGTAGCCTCATAAAAAGAATTCAGCAATATTTCTTTTGTTTTTTTGTATTGAACAATTTGAGGAGTGTTGGTATTAGTTCTTTAAATCTTGTATAATTCTGAGCTGAAACCATCTGCTCCTGGCTTTTTTTGTTTAGGAGACTTTTGATGACTGCTTCTATTTCTTCAGCAGTTGTAGGTCTGTGTAATTTGTTTATCTGGTCTTGATTTAATTTTGGTAAGTGATATTTATCCAGAAACTTGTCCATTTCCTTTAAGTTTTTCAATTTTGTGGAGTACAGGTTTTTGAAATTTGACCTGGATTTCCTCCATGTATGTTGTTATGTCCCCCTTTTCGTTTCTGATTTTGTTAATTTGGATATTCTCTCTCTGCCTTTTGGTTAGTTTGGATGAAGGTTTGTCTATTTTGTTGATTTTTCTCAAAGAACCAACTCTTTGTCTCATTGATTCTTTGTATTGTTTCTTTGTTTCTACTTGTTGATGTCAGCTATCATTTTGATTATTTCCTGCTAATTCTCCTGGGTGAGTTTTCTCCTGTTTGTTCTAAAGTTTTCAAATGTTCTGTTAATTCACTAGTGTGGGATTTTCCAGCTTCTTTATGTAGGAATTTAATAGCTTTCTTTTTAACACTGCTTTCACTGTTTCCCATAAATTTGGGTATGTTGTTTGGTCATTTTCATTGAATTTTAAGAAGTCTTTAATTTCTCCCTTTATTTCTTCTTTTACCCATCAATAATTCAGGTGAGCATTGTTAAATTTCTATGTGTTTGTGGGCTTTCTGGAATTAGTATTGCTTTTGAATTCTAGTTTTAAGCCATAGTGGTCTGATAAGATACTTGGCGTTATTCCAGTTTTTCTGTATTTGTTGAGGTTTCTTTTGTTACCACGTATGTGGTCAGTTTTCAGAAGGGTTCCATGAGGTACTGAAAAGAATGTATATATTCTTTCATATTTGGATGGACTATGCTTTAGGTGTTTGTTAAGTCCATTTGAGTCTTAAAATCTGTTAGTTCCCTTATTTGTTCATTTTTTGTTTGACTGACCTGTCCAGTGGTGAGAGGGGAGTGTGTTAAAGTCTCCCACTATTAGCGTGTGGGGCTTAATGTATGATTTGAGCTTTAGAAGTGCTTCTTTTACATGAGGGTGCTTTTGTATTTGGGCCCTAGGTTTCCAATATTGAGAGTTTCTTTTGATGGATTTTTCCTGTGACTAATATGAAATGAACTTCTTTGTCTCTTTTGATTGATTTTAGTTTGAAGTCTATTTTATCAGGTATTAGAATAGCTACACCAGGTTGTTTCTTAGGTTCATTTGACTAGATATTTTACCCTTTACTGTGAGGCTATGTCTGTTTTCATTGTTGGTGATGTTAATTTGTGTGTTTTTCCCTTCTTTGGGATTTGCTGCTTTAAAATCATCAATTGTTGTAGTATGAGGGCTGCTTGTCAGGATTTCTGTCCTGCCTGGCTCCCACAGTCTTTAGGTCCTAAAGAAAATCACACTGAGGTCTCCATAAGTTTATTAACTGATTGGCCCATTTGCTCAGGCTTCGTATTAGCTCTTATATATTAACCCATAATTCTTATCTATGTTAACCACATGGCTCTGTACCTTTCTTAGTCATGCAGATCACATCCTGTTTCTTCTGTGGTCTGGGCAGGACTCGGGAAAGAGCTTCCTTCTTCCCAGAATACTCCTGTTTTCATCGCCCGCCTCTGCTTTCTTTCTGGTTGACCCGCCTATACTTCCTGCCTGGCCAATCAGCGTTTATTTAAAACATGATTGACAGAATACAGACAATTCTCCCGCACCACTTTCCCCTTTTATTTTTTTAAACAAAGGAAAACATCCTTAGTCCATTTTTTGGGAATGTGGGCACAGTATTCCATGCTACTTCCAGCTGGTTGGGAGCGCTGATAATCTTATGGGGAGCTACAGAAAATGTAGAATTATGATCAAGTCCTGACTGGAGTATCCTGTGAGTCTTGATCATCTCAGGTGGCAGTCTTGAATCTGTTCTGGATGTAGAACTCAGACATCTGGGCTGTCTGTTCCTATCAGAGATTTCTCAGCTGGTCTTCCTTGATCAAACCAGATTTTTCTTAACTCAGAATGAATCCACAGCCTCTCATGTCCTGAGGAAAAAGCAAAATCTCTTCTCCAAAGTAACATACCTCTTGACTTCAATTTTGAAATCAAGGTATTTTCAAAGTACCTAACTTGGATTAATTTAGCAGCATTTATAAGCAAATATCTTTTAGCAGCTATTGCTCCTTCCTCAGCATTCAAACAATTCAGAGAGAGCATAATAACATACATTGTCCAGATTCTCTATGTGTTTTCCATCTTTATGCAGTTTTATTTTAAACTGTATTTTTTATTTTTAATTTTTGGCTTTTTGAGACAGGGTTTCTGTGTATCTTATCCTGGAACTCACTCTGTAGACCAGGCTATCCTTGAACTCACAGAGATCCACCTACCTCTGCCTCCCAAGTGCTGGGATTAAAGCTGTGTGCTACTACACCCTGAACTCACAGAGATCTGTCTACCTCAGCCTCCCAAGCTTTGGGATTAAAGACGTGTGCCACTGTACCTTGAACTCACAGAGGTCCATCGACCTCTGCCTCCCAAGTGTTGGGATTAAAGGTGTGTACCACCACACCCAACTATTCTCTTCTTTTTTTTTTAAGGACTTTAACTGCTTTCTTTTCCCTCCCAAACCAGCATATATTTTAACACAGAGTAAACCATTAAGAGGTTTTTTTTTAATCTCTCTTTACTGTATATCTCTCTTTTTCTGACTACACGAGTCTTTAATTTACCAAGCAATATGAGTAGGATTAAACCGTGGCTTTGATGTCTGGATTCAGCTCATTCCTTGGCTTTCTGCGATGCCAGCATCATAGCAGAGGTACTGGCTGTAGCCATGTTTATTGCCACAACTCTGTGGTGTTTCAAGGTCCCTGCCAGCAAGCAAGCTGCAACAGTGTGCTCACAAACCACACTCAAATGCCCCATAATCAGACCGCTTGACTGAAAGAGTCAGAGTTTGCCCTGGCAGGATGGCCCAGAAAACCGGCATTTTAAAACTGCACAGCTTTTTTCCTGCTAAGTCTGAAAACCGAAAAGCGTGCAGTCAGCTTTTTATCAACACTATTTAAGTGTTTCGTGGCAGGACCTCTTAAAAGAGCTGCAGTTTTACAGCTAAAGCTGAGTCAGGAAGCTTCTCTTAGATGAGAGCGCTTGCTTGCCTCTAGCAAGCAGAGCAGACCCGAGAAATTGTGGCTACCAAGAAAACATGCTTTACTTTATTCTTTCCCAAGCTTTCTCAGGCTTTCTATGGATGCAGTTATCCATGTGGGTGCCATTCTTAGTAGGATCCAAGATTCAGTGGTTTTTCCTCATAGTACAGTCAGTGTTACAGTTCTAGTTACCCCATTGGTCACTCTGTGCTCTGCTCCAGTAGATTTTGCTGTGTCACTCCTATTTTTTCTAGGCAAGTTGGACAAATGCAAGTAAGAAACAACGTCAAAAGCTTCTTCAACTGATTCGTCGCCTTGCAGAAGATGACAAGGATGGTGTAATGGCACACAAAGTATTGACTCTTCTGTGGAATCTAGCCCACAGTGATGATGTACCTGTAGATATCATGGATCTCGCTCTCAGTGCCCACATAAAAATACTCGATTATAGTTGTTCCCAGGTTAGAAAGTGCTTCATTACTTTGTTTGTTAACTCTTTTTATTTTGTTAAATATGATGTCTTAGTTGGAGGACAGTTGCATTTTATTCCATAATTTTTGTTTTCAAAGACATTTTTAATTATTAGTTGAATTTTGTTATAGAATCCTCTTTAGCATCTTCAGTTAAAGATTTAGTAGGTATGATGTATTCTGTTTTGAAACAAAAGTTTAAAAGGTGTAGGTACAGGTTTCTTTATGTTTTACTCATTTGAATAAATCAGGTCATGAAAAATCAAAGTTAGGTGTTCCGAGGCCTGAAATATAGGTCATCAGGAATAGGTGGTTGCAATGCAGACCTGATGACTTTGTTTTAATCTTTGGATCCTGTAGTAATAAGGGCGGCGGGGATGCATCCCCAGCACCCCGGCTGCCTGGCTAGCTTATGCCCGAAATAACAACACACAAACTGTATTCATTTAATCACTGCTTGGCCCATTTCTATCTAGCCTCTTCTAGGCTAATTCTCACATATTAATTTAGCCCATTTCTAATTATCTGTGTAGCGCCCCTAGGTGCGCTTACCGGGAAGATTCTAGCCTATATCCATCCTGGGTCGGAGCTTCATCGCGTGCGTCTGCCTGGGAGCTGGGAGCATGGCGTCTCTCTGAGGCATCTGCTCCCGAGAGGAGAGCTGTGGAGTCTGAGCTCACTTCCTCTTCCTCCCAGCTTTCTGTTCTGTTTACTCCTCCCACCTATCTTCTAACCAATGAGGGCCAAGCAGTTTCTTTTTATTTAACCAATGACCTTCCTCCATCAGGATCCTACCTTAAAATAGGAGACAACAGACTTTATGAATTTTTCCTCTTGCCTCTACACTTTGAACTACTGCTTAATGCGTGCACATATAATTTTTCAAACTTAAATTGGTCATAGTTATGAAAATGTATTGCCGATGTTTTGAAAGTACTTACAGAACTATCTTTATCAAAATACTCTTAAAATCTCTTATGTGTTAATTGTTATCCTTATATGTGTAAATAAGAGAATATTCTTAGGCTTGAATACTTTTTAAAAAGACAGTCATAGTCTAGACTACATACTTATTCACATAGCTGAAGGTTTGTTTCGATTCTGAAGAAGATACAAATAAAAATTTATCTTAGCTGTTTCCTTCTACAGTTAGATAAAAATACAGTAGTTTTGGATTTTCAGAGGCATGAGGAGGAAATCAATCTGAATCAAGTTACTTAATCAGATCATGGTATATTATGTATTTGATAATGACATTTTACTAAGCATTTAAAATTGTTAATAAGGTTCTTGCAAACAAATAATATTTTATCAAATAGAAAAGCATTGTAAGTAATCAAAATAATTATTATAAATGCTCATCTAGCACTTGCTTATTCATATTACTGCTTTGGATACTATCTTGAATTTGGCCAGATTATTGGTTATTATAGTCATTACGATAGTAAAATTTTCTTTTTCAAATTCAGCCTTTATCTCTTGTTATTTTGAAAATGCAGTGTTTATTCCTAGGCTTCCCATTGAAGACTTGAAAAGTAGTGACAAATTTAGCAATCATAGTATTTTCTTTAAATATTCTTTATGGAGTTGAAATAACTCAGTCTCTGAAGTTCTTGTTATGCAAAAACTAGGGCCCAAATGTGAGCTAAGTACAAAAGAGGTAGCAATTAGATAATCCCTGAGGCTTGTTGGTCAGACAATCTTGAAGAATGAACTCTGCAGTCAGTGAGACACCTTAAGTCAAAAATTCAAATGAAGAATGATTAAGGCAAATAACAAATGCTGACCTGTTACACACACACACACACACACACACACACACACAACTTTTCCTTACATATTTAGTATTTCCTATTATTGTTCTCCAAATCTGCACAGAATCACCACTAATAAACTAAACCTAAAATTATGATTGCCAGCAAAGTCCTGTACAATATTAAGAAAAGTAACTGTGGCAGAATATTTAAAGTGAGCTCACTACAGTTTTTAATTTTCTCAAGATTAACACTTTTGCTTATTTTGCTGATTTTTTTGTTGAATTTTTATAATGATGTAGAATGAGCAAAACACTAAATAATACACAAAGCCCAAATTTAGATACTTTAAAAACCATGTTTCTTGTGCATAGATGGGAGAAATACTTAAAATATATTAGAAACATGTAACATTGAGTGTATTGTAATATTTTATATTACAGAGCATTTGGTTTGATTAAATTCAGTTAAATTACAATTATATGAAGTTTAAATTCTTTTTCTATTTTGAAAGTTTCAGCAACCTTAAAGAGAGACATGTTGAATTTTATTAATCTATATTAAATGCTGAATTCTATATAGTTATCATGAGTTATGCCAGAACTTAAGTAATTTTTTTTATATGTAAGGATCGAGATTTGCAAAAAATCCAGTGGATAGATCACTTTATAGAAGAACTTCGAACAAATAACAAATGGGTTATCCCTGCACTGAAACAAATAAAAGAGATTTGTAGTTTGTTTAATGAAGCACCTCCAAATTTAAGGTAAGGTTTTTATACAGTTTCCTTGCTATTTATGATTGTGTTGAAATTAGTCTATGAGTATTAGCAAACTGTAAATAAAGGAAAGTGACAAAGTTAGAGAAAGAGATCTTTCTATTTGAGTTTAGTTTTTGTATTGTAAGACAGGGTCTCTCTATACATTCCTAGCTGTCCTGAAACTCATTCTGTAGAGTACACTGCAGTGATGGGATTAAAGTCAAGTACTGCTACACATGGCCATTTTTTGTTGTTGTTTGTATGTTCTTTTGTTTGGAATATGCTAAATATTAGTTGTTTTCTATTCCTTTTTTATTGAATTAGATGTGTTGAAGAAGATACTATTGATTGTTGCTCTAATTCTAATTGGTCTTCATAATAAAAGCCCAGAGTCAGATATTAGTGGGTAAAAGTTGAAAGATAGGAGAAGCGGAGGAGCCAGACACTAGTTTTACATCTACAAAATCTTCAGACCAAATAGGGTATCCTGTCTCTATAAGTCCTCAGACTGAATATTTTGCTTCTATTTCCTCCTGCTTTATATTGCTTTGTTCGCCCAGCCATATCATTTCCTGTCTCCACCTCCCTAGTATTAAAGATGTGAGCCATCACTGCTTGGCTCTATTTCTCTTTTAGATTGATTATCTCTTGTAACCCAGGGTATCCTTGAACTCACAGAGATTCATCTGCCTCTTTCTCCCTAGTGCTGGGTTTAAAGGTGTATGCCACCATTGCATGGTCTCTGTGGCTAACTAGTGTGACTAGCTCCACATTCTGATCTTCAGACAAATTTTGTCAGAACACAAACAGAATACCACATTTTTCCTTTCTGTCTAAAATAAAAAGGGTTATAGCTAATATAAGAAAAACTACATACAACAACTACAATAACTATATATAATATAGATGGGCAATAAATATATCAACAATGTCTAGTTCATTTGCATTTGACAAATTCAGAGAAAATACTCTATTATCTAACCTATCTTAGTGAATCCAATATCTTGTTCCTAATTCACTTCCCCCCCCCTTTTTTTTATTTTTGAGACAGGGTCTTTCTGTAGCTTTGGGGCCAGTCCTGGAACTAGCTCTTGTAGACTAGGTTGGCCTCCAACTCACAGAGCTCTTCCTGTCTCTGCCTCCCAGCCCAAGAGCTGGATTAAAGGCCTGTGCCCACCACTGCCTGGTTCCTTCATTTTTTTTCCTTCACTTTTTAGTAATACATTTGTAATGAATTTTCTGAAAAATTTCCCTTCGTGAAAAATGTGTGTTGTCACCAAAACATTTGCAGTGCAATAATGATTTCTAGAGATTCTGAGAGGTGTACTAGCTAAATAAAATATGTTTTAGAAAGGAACTTCCATCTGTTTTAAATAGTTTCCTATGTTTATGATAATCGGCAAAATCCTTTCTATCTCGGTCTGGTATGATTATGACGTAACATAGAAGTCTTATATAAGTAGGAATGTAAGGTATCTTTTATGTGCTTTGACTTTTTTTTCAGAGGAATTTTAACTTATTTTTCTAGTACTAGAAAATCATATATAATCACAGAATTTCATGGAGATAAGCAATGGAGAAATTAAATAATATTGATTAACAATCTATTTTGATTACATAAGATCCAACCTTTTTTCATTTATAAAATACATTCATACTGTTTTCAGGTAAATGTATTAGTACTATCCTAAAGTTAGTAATTTTATTAGTATTAGAAGAGCAATGTAGGCTAGAAAACATAGCTCAGTTCTTGGTGAGCATACATGAAAGTCTGGGATTTGACCTTAATACTGAATTAAGAAAAAAATAACAAAGGCCCACAGCACTGGGGAGGTGGAAACAAAAGCATTGGAAGTTCATGGCCAGGAAGGATTGTGTCTCCATAATATTGAGAAACTGAGTGTTTTCATTAGAATAGCAACAACAACAAAATGAAATAGAAGCTAGGTAACTTTACTTCCGGTAATATCCAGAAACAGAACATGTTGCAAATGCAGTATTTTATAATATACCTTTGTTGTATAATGTTTGAGTCATGTAAACACTTGTACTCTAGTAGTAAATTGGAAAAAAAGACTGATACCTTTTACGTAAAATGGAAATAAATGGTACGTGGCATTATAGATCGTTGTTACTGTTACATTTATTATTAAGAGAAGACTACTGGCCATATTTTGCCTTAATTTTTTTAGCATTTTACATGTAGTGGCTAAATTTAATTTTCTACTAACAGTGGTATTAATGTTAATGCCCAATTTTTAATTTCAGTCGAACTCATCAAAGTCCTCATGTATTTTATCGTCGTGATTTAATCAGGCAACTTCAACATAATCATACTTTAGTTACTTTGGTAACAGAAAATCTTGCAACTTACATGAACACCATAAGATTATATGCTAGAGGTATGTATGCTAACCTAAAGTTAACTTTTAGGAATCTGTTTTAGAAATAAATTTCCTGACTTTATTTTGATTTAGTAGAATGTTAATGTTTTCAGAAATGAGATTTATTTTTATTGGTGAAAAATATCTGTTAGTGTCATGAATTGTAAAATTCTGTTAAACTGTAGGATTCCAGTACCATCATCCAGATAAAGGGCATTAATTATTTAAATTTTTGTAATAAAGTACATTAGCACTGCATATAATAAATATACTAATAAGATTCTTATTTATGTTTATGGCAGTGGATGTTTTGTACTCTTGTGTGTCTTATCCTCCCCATGTATGTATCTGGTGTTCTTAGGGCAAGGAGAGAGTGTCAGACCCACAATAACTAAAGTTATATATGGTTGTCAGCCACCATGTAGGTTCTGGAAATATAGCTAATATTCTTTGCAAAAGAAGCATGTGTTTCCAGCTGTTGAATAACCCCTAGTATCTCCATACGTTTTAATAATGTTGAGTTATGTCTAATAATAATAACTGATAAATCATAATAACTGTAAATAGCATAATAGTATATTGATTATATGATGACAAGAAAGAACTCAGTACGGATGTAGGTTTTTCATTTGAGTGAGTTTTCAATCTAAAGTTGTAGAACACTGTAAAATGGAGGACTACTATTTTCTTTATATTTTATGTCACCATAAATTGTGTACAATTTGAATTCTAGACTAATTTTCAGTGTCTTTTAACTATAACCAGTTTTGTTTTTGTTGTTTATATTTTTAAGTCATTAGCCCTCTGTCAGATGTGGTATTGTTAAAGTTCTTTCCCATTTTATACTTTGACATTTTATCTGAATGATGCTATCCCTTGCCTTACAGAGGCTTTTTAAAGTTTGTTCTTATTTGTCTGGATTTCCTCAGTGTTTGTTGTGTTGTCCCATTTTTATCTCTAATTTTATTTATGTGGATCTTCTCTTTCTTTTTTTTCTTTTTTTTCTTTTTTTTTTTTATCTTATATCCAAAAAAAAAATTTCCGCATCCTCCCAACCTCCCATTTCCCTCCCCCTCCTCCGGCCCCTCTCCCCCGCCCCCACTCCTCTCCCCCTCCTTCTCCCGTAAAAAGAGCAGTCAGGGTTCCCTGCCCTGTGGAAAGTCCAAGGTCCTCCCCTCTAAATCCATTCCTAGGAAGGTGAACATCCAAACTGGCTAGGCTCCCACAAAGCCTCAAAACCCAGTGCCATTGTCCTTGGCTTCTCATCAGCCCTCATTGTTCGCCATGTTCAGAGAGTCCAGTTTTATCCCATGCTTTTTCAGTCACAGTCCAGCTGGCCTTGGTGAGCTCCCAATAGATCAGCCCCACTGTCTCAGTGGGTGGGTGCCCCCCTCGTGGTCATGACTTCCTTGCTCATGTTCTCCCGCCTCTGCTCCTCATTGGGACCTTGGGAGCTCAGTCCAGTGCGCTCTAGTGTGAGTCTCTCTCTCTATCTCCATTCATCACCAGATGAAGGTTCTAGGTGATATGCAAGATATTCTTCAGTATTGCTCTAGGATAGGGTCATTTCAGGTTCCCTATCCTCAGCTGCCCAAGGAACTAACTGGGGACATCACCCTGAGCACCTGGGACCCACTCTAGGTTCAAGTCTCTTGCCAACCCTAAGGTGGCTCCCTTAACTAAGATATATGCTTCCCTGCTCCCCTATCCAACCTTCCTTAATCCCAATCATCCTATTTCCCCAAGTTCTCCCCATCCTACCCTTCTCACTTTTCTCTCCCCATCTCCTCTTACCTCCCCCACCCACCCTTAAGATCCCGATTTTTGCCTGGCAATCTTGTCTACTTCCCCTACCCAAGAGGATAGCTATATGTTTTCCTTTGGGTTCACCTTCTTATTTAGCTTCTTAGGATATCCAATTATAGACTCACTGACCTTTATTTAAGGCTAGAAACCAATTATGAGTGAGTACATCCCATGTTTATCTTTTTGGGTCTGGGTTACCTCACTCAGGATAGTATTTTCTATTTCCATCCATTTGCATGCAAAATTTGAGAAGTCATTGTTTTTTACCACTGAGTAATACTCTAGTGTGTAGATATTCCACACTTTCTTCATCCATTCTTCCATTGAAGGGCATGTAGGTTGTTTCCAGGTTCTGGCTATTACAAAAATTGCTGCTATGAACATAGTTGAACAAATGCCCTTGTGAGATGATCGGGCATCTCTTGGGTATATTCCCAAGAGTGGTATTGCTGGGTCCAGGGGCAAGTTGATCCTGAATTTCCTGAGAAACCAAAACACTGCCTTCCAAAGTGGTTGCACAAATTTGCATTCCCACCAGCAATGGATGAGGGAACCCTTTCCTCCACAACCTCTCCAGCACAGGCTATCATTGGTGTTTTTTATTTTAGCCATTCTGACAGGTGTAAGATGATATCTCAAGGTTGTTTTGATTTGCATTTCCCTGATTGCTAAGGAGGTTGAGCATGACCTTAAGTGTCTTTTGGCCATTTGAACTTCTTCTGTTGAAGAAGTTGAACTTCTGCAAAGAAGTCAGGACCACGAGGGGTGCATCCACCCACGGAGACAGTGGGGCTGATCTAATGGGAGCTCACCAAGGACAGCTGGACTGTAACTGAAAAAGCAGGGGATAAAACCGGACACTCTGAATATGGCAGAGAATGAGGGCTGCTGAGAAGCCAAGGACAATGGCACTTGGTTTTGATCCTACTTCAAGTTCTGGCTTTGTGGGAGCCTAGCCAGTTTGGATGTTCACCTTCCTAGACCAGGATTGGCGAGGGGGTGGGGGGGGAAGGACTTTGGACTTTCCGCAGGGCAAGGAACCTTGACTGCTCTTCAGACTTGATAAGGAGGGGGAGAGGTGTAGGGGGACGGGGAGAGGAGTGGGGGGGAGGAGTGGGAGTCTGGGAGGAGGCGGAAATTGTTTTTTCCTCAATAAAACAAAAAGAAAGTTAAAAAAAGTTTTTTAAAAAAAAAGAAGGTTGAGCATGACCTTAAGTGTCTTTTGGACATTTGAACTTCTTCTGTTGAGAATTCTTTGTTCAGTTCAGTGCCCCATTTTTTATTTGTGTTAATTAGCATTTTAAAGTCTAGTTTCTCGAGTTCTTTATATATTTTGGAGATCAGACCGTTGTTGTGGCATTAGTGAAGATCTTCTCCCAGTCAGTAGGTTGCCTTTTTGTCTTAGTGACAGTGTCCTTTGATTTAAGAAGCTTCTCAGTTTTGGGAGGTCCAATTTAATCAGTGTTTCCCTTACTGTCTGTGCTTCTGGGGTTATGCATAGGAAGCGATCTCCTGTGCCCATCTGCTGTAGGGTACTTCCCACTTTCTCTTCTATCAGGTTCACTGTGTTCTGACTGATATTGAGGTCTTTAATCCATTTGGACTTGAGTTTTGTGTATGGTGATAGATATGGGTCTATTTGCATTCTTCTACAGGTTGACATCCAGTTATGCCAGCACGTGGTTTTATTGAAGATGCTTTCTTTCTTCCATTGCATACTTTTTGCTCCTTAATTGAAAATGAGGTGTTCATAGGTTTGTGGGTTAAAAACCGGATCTTCTATGTGATTCCATTGGTCGACTTCTCTATTTTATGCCAGTACCACGCTGTTTCCATTACTGTAGCTCTGTAATAGAGTTTGAAGTCAGGGATGGTAATGCCTCCAGAAGTTCCTTTATTGTATAAGATTGTTTTGGCTATCCTGGGTTTTTTGTTTTTCCATATAAAGTTGATTATTGTCCACTCCAGATCTGTGAAGAATTATGATGGGATCTTGATGGGGATTGCATTGAATCTATAAATTCCCTTTGGTAAAATTGCCATTTTTACTATGTTGATCCTCCCAATCCAAGAGCAAGGGAGATTCTTCCATTTTCTGGTATCCTCTTCAATTTCTTTCTTTAATGCTTTAAAGTTCTTGTCAAATAGACCTTTCACTTAGTTGGTTAGAGTTATCCCAAGATTTTTTTTTTTGCTTTTTGTGACTATCTTGTAAGGTGATGCTTCTCTGATTTCCCTCTCTGCTTCCATATCCTTTGTGTATAATAGGTTCACTGATTTTTTGGTGTTGATCTTGTATCCTGCCTCATTACTAAAGGTGTTTATCAGCTGTATAAGTTCTTTGGTGGAGTTTTTGGGGTCGCTTATGTACACTATCATGTCATCTGCAAATAACGAAAGTTTAACTTCTTCCTTTCCAATTCGAATCCCTTTAATCCCCTTATGTTGTCTTATTGCTATTGCTAAAACTTAACGCACTATATTGAAGAGGTATGGAGAGTGTGGACAGCCTTTTCATGTTCCTGAATTTAGTGGGATGGCTTTGTGTTTCTCTCCGTTTAATTTGATGTTTGCTGTGGCTTGCTGTAATTAGCTTTTATTGTATTTAGGTATGACCCTTGTATCCCTAATCTCTCCAAGACTTTTATCGTAAAGGGATGTTGAATTTTGTCAAATGCTTTTTCAGCATCTAATGAAAAGATCATATGGTTTTTTTTCTTTCAGTTTATTTATATGATGGATTACATTGATAGATTTTCATATGTTGAACCAGCCCTGCATCTCAGGAATGAAGCCTACTTGATCATAATGGATAATTTTTCTAATGTGTTCTTGGATTCGGTTTGCCAGTATTTTGTTGAGGATATTTGTGTCGATGTTCATGAGTGAGATTGGCCTGTAATTCTGTTTCTTGGTTGAGTCTCGTGTGGTTTTGGTATCAGAGTAACTGTAGCTTCATAAAAGGAATTTGGCAATAACTCTTCTGTTTCTATATTTTGAAATATATTAAGCAGTATAGGTATTAGCTCTTCTTGGAAGTTCTAGTAGAATTCCGCATTGAAACCATCTGGTCCTGGGCTTCTTTTGTTAGGGAGGTTTTTGATAACAGCTTCTAATTCTTCGAGACTAACAGGTCTATTTAGATTGTTCACCTGGTCTACCGCCATACCACCCTGAAAGCGTGGATCTCGTCTATATTGTTCACTTGGTGC